CATCATGAGTGTAAGAGCTTCTTGAAAATGTTTGTGAATGTCATTTTTTTTATATACTGGAAGAAAAAATATTCTTTCGTGTCTCGTGTTTGGAATGTCCTTCAGAACTGATTAAAAAGGTGAAACCTCAACACACACACACACAAAAAAAAGAAATCCAAGCCACAGAGTGAAAGAAGCTCTTTACAAAACATCTGATAAAGAACTCCTATCTACACTATATAAAAAAGAACTACTATGCACTGGCAGTACAGTTCAGTGACAACACTATTTGTACTACTAAAAAATTATAAAATTTGATTTGTAATATACAAAAGTTTCTCCAAACTAATCCATAAAGATTGTGTTTAGCATGCACAAGGCCCTAAGTTCAATTACCAGCACCATCAGAGAAAGACAGAGATAGATAAAAACCAAAAAAAAAAAAAAAAAAAAAAAAAACAATGAAAACAAACAAAAACTATCAAGCAGTAAGAAAAAGGCAACCCAACAAAAAAAATGGGCAGGAGATAAGAAGTTAATAAAAGAACAGACTGTCAAATGTCCAAGGAACAGATGAAAAATTCAGTCTTAATCATCAGAGAAATACAAGGGTACAGAGCAAAAATAACGTTCATGAATTTGTATTGGGAAGGTAAATTTTCTTTTTTGCAGTACTGAGGATTGAAACAAAGGCATCTGTACTGTGCTACATCCCCAGCACTTTTTTGCTTTGTTTTATTTTGTTTGTTTTTTGTAACTTTGTGACTAAGTTGTCCTGGGTGGGCTGGAACTTGCAATCCTCCTGATTCAGCCTCCCAGCCTCTCATGGTACTAGAAAGGAAATTTTCTACAGCTATTGAGGAATATAATTGGCATTATCTTCTAAGTCTTGGAACTAGTCATGTTCTTTGAACCAATGATTCTATTCCATCCAAAGTATATACAAACAGAAACACAGAGGCATGTATACCAAAAGAAAGCACAATAATGTTCACAGTAGCATACACTTTAAACAGCTCAAATGTTTCACTGCAGTGTTTACACTGAAAAGGCATACGTAAGTGTGGCATTCATACTATAAAGAAAAGAAGCAAATATAAAAATTTAGGATGGCTGTAATCTTTCAGCAGCAGTAAGGAAGCACTAAAGTGCCAGGAGTGTTCCTTTTCTTGACTTGGGTGGTGGTAACATGGAGACTCATGATTTATATTTACATCACATCCTCTTTATTTGTGTGATACTTCACAGAAAGAAAAAAAATTGGGAAAAAAAGGGTTTTGGTACCAGCTGTTAGCTACACAGAATCAGTCAAGTCATTTTTCATCTTCACTCACCAGTTTAAAAACACATAGCTTTTGCACATGCAATGATATTAAATGAACTATTATCAAATCATTCTGAAATCTTCAAGGATTAGATACAGCGCATATCCTCTCAAATTAAGGATCACAAAAAAATACTTTACAAAAATATAACTCCTGTTTGAAAGAAAAAATATGTTACTATACTATAATAAAAATATCTAGGAATTAAGTAGTTAACCTATCAAAATATTTCCCTTTTTTGTTATCAACAGTATAATTGCATTTTGGATTACTTTTTTGTGAAGAACAATACTATATTATAAAAAATAAAATTCAAACTTACCTCTCTGTTGGGAATAACTTCATCAAGTTGCTCTGTAAATGAAGATGTCCTGCTCCTAGTTCCTGTTGGTGTTGAAGAACTGGAGGAAGCCTAGATTTAAAAATCATTGTATATATTAGAAGACTAAATTGACTACATACTAGGTAGTTCTCTCAGTCCATCCTGAAGAACTCAATAAGGGGAAAAAATAAAGGCAGAAAAGAATGACTAAAATGTAACCAACTAAAAGATGCAGGCTATTTACTGGGTCCTTAGCCTGACTTTATCACCAATGAGAACTACAATCTTAACTAAATGAAGTTTTAAGGGCTACATCACTTTGCATATAAAGTTATGCTGGTGACATGACATGCTAATATTAGGGGAAACTGAAGTCAAGTGAGAGGTATACAGAATCACTATTATCTGTGCAATTTTTCTATAAGACAAACTGGTTCCAAAATTTCAGCTTCATTAAAAATGTAAGGCTTTTGCTGGTGTGGTGGTGTATTCCCGTAATCACAGCACCTAAGAGGGTGAAGCAAGTGAATCGCTCAGAGTGCAAGGCCAGTCTGAATTGCATAGCGCAACTCTGTCTCTAAAAGCAAAAAAACAAACAAAAAAAAAGAAAGAAAGAAAAGGTTGTCAATTCCATCTCTGATGTCTCTTAAACATTCATACTATAAATACCTCTCTAGTCAAAACTCTTTCAACCAACTTGTTTGGTACAGCTGGATACTTCTATGCAAAAAGCAGTCTGACTATAATAATCCTCAATACAAAAAAAAAACCTTCAGAAGGGCCCGAAATTTAAAGAATCTGAGATATACTTTAAGGTGAGATGCCGGGGAGATAACTCAGTGGAATAAGTGCTTCCCTGGCAAGCACAAGGGCCTGGGTTCAATCCCCGGTTCTGAAAAAAAAAAGGGGGGGGGGGATACTTTAAGGTGAGCTAAAAAAAAATCGTTAAAATTATAAAGCCAAAATTTCAATACTCCTTCCACCTATAACAAAACATCTGAACTCATCTTAAACTAAAATGAGTAATGGTGCCGGAGTTTTGAACTGCATTTTTTGCATCAGTGTCCTGGTCCTCTGTGTGTCCTCTGGAGTACTAGAACATGACGACCATCCTCTCTGCGGAGGAGCTAGGCTCCTCGAAATACAGCAACTGACAGAACTTGGCCAAGAGTTTGGGCCTCTGGGCTAACCTGAGGGCACACCAGCTCTTTAAGGCTTTGAAAACCCACCTTAAACAGGAAGCACATAAAGAAAATAAGAATCAGGATGAAAGTCAAGCTTTTGCATCCTCTGGTGATGAGACTGAGGTACAGATTAACAGCAGTGGGGAACAAGCCATGAAGAAGCCAGTGGACCACATCACCAAAACAAGGAGGCAGTGGGGACCTGTCTCCTAGCAGGATCATTCTGAGATAAGCCTGAGTCATTTCACCGAAATACAGAATCAAGAAGATCAGGAAAACTGGGATTTCAGAACTACTGGAGAAATGCCTTTGCTACCAGACAAAGAGTCTTGGAGATGAGCATACAGTTTCCTTAGGAAAAGATAATGAAGATTCAATGGAACCTTCAGAAAAACATTCTTGCTATACAGACAGATTTTCCACACTTGGGGACAGGAAAAGAACTTCAGTCACTACTCGAAACTTCAAAAAGCTCCATGAGGCTCATTTTAAGGAAATGGAGTCCATTAATGAATATATTAGAGAAGAAAGAAACACCACTCCTCTCATGAAATGAAACAGTCCAGCAGTGAGTGAGGGATACTGACACCCACGCCTCCAGGAGGCCTCTCCACAGTTTGCACTCCCGCCAGTCAGCATGCTCACAAGGCCAGGCCCAAGGCCCTGTCAGGAGGAGCACTGTGAGTATAAAAGAGCTGGTTAAGCACAATGAAAATGAATGTCAGGTTTTCAGCTACAACTAAAAATAATGAGCATAAGAATTCACTGACCAAGACTCCAGCCAGAAAGTCTCCACATGTCACCATAGCTCGGAACATGGCAGAAGGCCACACTGTGTTTGGGATACCCACGTTAAAGACCACTAAAGGGAAATCTGCTGTGACTGTTATTTCCCCATTCAAGCCGACAACTATGAGAATACAGACTCCTGTCACCAATAAGGAACCTGCATTTGGGGGAACTACCTGATCGGGTTCCCCTCCTGTCCCTCTCTTGGACAGGAGCTTTATTTCTCTCAATAAATATATTATGCTCATGAAAAAAAAAAGAAACTTGCATTTGATCTCAAAGCAAGTTTGTCTTGTTCCCTCAACTATCAGCCACATAAAGGAACATTGAAACCATGGGGGCAATCTATAAAGAAAATAATTCTCTGAATGAACATGTGAACAGAATGAGTTTCCAAAAGAAGACTTAGAAACCACCTCCTGTCCAGACCAGGGAAGAGCAATAGGAAGAAACAGGAGCAAGAATGGAAGGAGAGTCCTAGCCCAGGTCCGGTGAGTGTGTGGAGAGCTTCCTGCTACCCTGCGCAGGC